TTTTTGTACGTCTGACTGTCTGCCCATCTACCGCCTCTTTGTCCTGTTTGCTCCGTTACTCCCATGCCCTGGTGCATAGTGCCTGGTGCTGATACGTTACCCTTTGATCTTTTCTTTGGGCGGGTGTGGGAAGCGTCCTCCTTTATTTTTGTTTTTACTTTATTTTGATCGGTTTCCGAGGGCTCTTTTCTCGAACGGTCGGTGCGGTACCTGTTATTTTCTTTCTATCATTTTGTTTTCTTTTTTCGAGTGGTTTGTACCCTTTTTTCGTTTTTTTTTCCCGCGGCGTCGTATGTGCCGGGTTTTGAGACCACGGGCTCCCTAATTTTTGTGGACTATAGAGCTAATGTGACAAACANAACAACAACAACAACAACAACAGCAACAACAACAACAACAACAACAACAACAACAACAACAACAACAACAACAACAACAACAACAACAACAACAAACACACTGCTGCTGCTGATAGCCGGAGTACACATGTCCAAGCCACAGCAACGATATCATATTTAGCTCCGACATGCACTCACTTGCGATTGCGTGAAACGTAGAAAGTTGACGCAGTCCTGTGGGCTGAAGAAGTCACGTCCCTACGTGCGATACTCGTGGGCGTGTCGTCGAGTTCCAGACGGGCCATCGCGTAGATGAAAGCGATGTTGTACACGAACCATATATCAGTGTAGACGTCGAATAGATTACGGCATCGAAGCATGACCGAAGCACGTTTTTTGTGCTCGATTCGTTAGCGAATACGTAGACGGGACATGGTAGCCTCGCCCACACACTCAACAGTGGGAGCGCTGCAGAGCGCTCTGTCAAGAGACAGCTGTTCCCGCAGCAGAGCAGCAAGCAGCCACGGAAGGAGGGGGACTGTCAGGCCACTGTCCACCCCGGCCAATCACTTTCGCTCCAGCCTGCAGACCTTAAATCGGAAAATATTCGCCTGCAGGAAGTTTCCAGGAAACTTTCTTAACTCAAAATATGTTTCCTTATTTCAGTATACTCGGAGCCCCAGTCCGAAACTGTTAATTGTATCCTAATAAAGGTCGCGAAACTTGATGCATTAATAATGCTTAATGTTGGGCAGACCAGGACCTTCACGTTTCTCTTCTGTAGTACCAAATCATTTATCGGGGTCGAAGCAAAACACCTGTTGCACTGCAGAGCACGCCACCTGAATGCAAGGTGGAAGGTGAGACGCAAAACCGTGCGGTGTGTCATGAATCAACTCTCAGTCTTCGATCTAAAAGGGTGACGGTGAGCGTTTGGGCCCACCCCGATCTTCGGACTCCCGTTCAGAACTACTGTACATGCATGCAGCTATCACGACGATGTCGTCACATCCACCAGCTCCTGCACGTGTTGTGACGCAAGCAGTCCCCCAAGCCTACCGCATCTTGATTTACCCTGCTGTACTTCCTAACGATAGCTTCATGCCGCCCAGTTTCTGGTCTTGCTCGACCTGGATGTAGAACAGTCGTACGAACATGTGGTGGGGGGTAAGCAAATGCCACCACCCACCGTCAACCCCACCAAACCAGCCCATGCCCAGCCTAACGAGCACTGTCAACGGCAGCCGGCGTAGACTCTTGGCCGCGAAAACCGTCGGGGCGCTCATGCGGCGTAGATATCTCGTCATGCACACTTATGCTGTTGTTCATGCCCAGAAAGCCCAGCTCGCCATTCTGGCCGTCGAAAAAACGTATCCGCTAAG